AGTGAACGTGAAACCCATTTCCAAGTAAACAGCTGAATTTTTGCAGCACTGATCTTGGTCGAATTAGGTTTAAGAGACACCGAGGAGTTGGGTTCAAGAGACACTGACAAGTTCGGTCCGAGAGTAATTGACTTTTTAACTTTAACATTGAATGCATTTTCTCCTTCTTCGTCTGTAGATCTATCCCGTTTTAACGATTCACATTTTAACCAACGGTCCATAACGTACGCGTAATGTAACTTTCTGTGAAAAACAAAGCTTTAAAATGTTGCACAAAATCACACGTTTCAACACGGTCAGGGACCGCACTAGCAATGAATTTACTTACTAACAATAGCCGACTAGACTAGGCGGGATCTGTAGAAATTCAGACCATAATGGACATTTTCCATAGGAAGCTATTTTTTTGCTGGAATCCCTTCAGGATGTGCCCAATATCGATAACACGATATGCGCCAGTCGCAAACCTTGTGCTAAATTTTTTATTTAACAAAATCTGAAAACAATTGAAAATTTCTCATTTTTTGCTCCTATTTTCGTTTATAATTCGAAAATATTGATCCTATAGAAAAAATTATAAGAAGTTAAAAGTTTCGTTATTCAATTTTACAAAATATTTCGTTAGGTAGAAATTGAAACTTTAATGTTTATTGTTAAAAAATTGAAAAAATAGCAATAATTGAAAAAAAAAAAAGTACAAAAAAGTACAATGAAGTTAATCCTTTAAATGTTTTCGACTTTGTCAAAGGAGTCCCGTGTGTCATAGTTTGCATAACTGTACTATTAACTGTACCAGTTGAGATTGACCTTAATTTGTCACCATTGGGTAATTCATCGATTTAAAGTACCATAAATGTCAGAGAAAAGATATCTATTAATTAAGGAAGGAGTTTTCCATAGAAATACTTATTAATAAAAGAAGATTTCCTCGAGAAATCAAGAAGCAGGACCGGAGTATATATATGCACAGAACAATTTTAGATTTAAATTCCGTCCGAATTATAAGCTCGTATTGTTTATCTCAACATATCCGAACAATGGAATACTGCTAAAACAATACTAATACACAAAAAGGGAGACACCACAGACCTGAAAAATTATCGACCAATTTCACTTCTTTCACAACTTTACAAAACCTTTACAAAGATTATTACAAACAGGTTAACAATTAAATTTGATGGATATCAACCAGTAGAACAAGCCGGATTTAGAAAAGGGTACAACACCTGTGACCATCTATATACTTTAAAAATCCTAATAGAAAAGACTAACGAATACAATCTCCCATTATGTCTGGTTTTTATAGATTATGAAAGCTTTTGATAGCGTAGAACTGTGGGCAATAGAAGAAGCATTATTCAACAATCGGATCGACTCCAGGTACAGAATATTAATACATAATATTTACGAACAAGCTAAAATGATAGTGACGTTGGGTAATGGAATCGAAACAAGACAAGTAAAAATCAACCGAGGCGTAAGACAAAGAGACACAATATCTCCAAAATTATTTACAGCTGCCCTAGAAGATATCTTGAAGTCAATAGACTGGGAAAATAAGATATAATAAGAATAAGATATAATATAAAATAATAATAATAAAAAATAATAAAATAAAATATGACTGAAAATGAATTTCAGCAAAACTAAACTAATGTCAAACAAAGATGACAAACCTATGATAAACATCCAAGGGGCAGAGATAGATTACTCCTTCTTCTTCTTCTTTTTATATAGACATGACTCTGTTTTTCAATGTGCCTCCAGTTAGTAGTCATTCCATCGTTTTCGTGGTCTTCCTACTGATCTTCCTATCGGGGAACCGTCTCTTGCCGTCTTTACTACTCTATTTGTTGTCATTCAGCTTATATGATCGTTCCGTTCTACTCTTCTATTTCTTACCCAGTTTTTGATGTTCTCCACCTTACATCTATGTCGTATATTTGTACTTCTAGCTCTGTCCCATAGTGCCTTACCATTAATTTTTGTAAGTGTTTTCATCTCTGCTGTTTCTAACATTCTTTTTGTCCTCTCTGCGGCAGGTCTTGTTTCTGCCGCGTATGTCATTATTGGTCTGATGACTGTTTTGTAAATTCTGCCTTTCGTTTCTTTTCCGATATTTTTGTTTCTCCATATTGTTTTATTTAGGCAGCCTGCGGCTCTGTTTGCTCTATTCACTTGAAGTGAATAGAGATAGAACACGTAGATGAATATACATATCTGGGTGAAAATGTCTAGGTAAGCAAAGAAAATCAGACTACCGACATAAGCAGACATGCAAAAATTGGATGAGCAGCATTCGGAAAGCTCTCATACGTAAAAATAAAAACATACCTCAAAGACTGCGAACCGAAGTGTTCAATTCCTGTATCCTACCTGTACTTACATATGGAGCTCAAACCTGGACATTCAATAACATAAACATGGAGAAGATCAGAAAAACTCAGAGAGCTATGGAACGGCAGATTCTAGGTATCTCACTCAAAGACCATAAAACCAATGAGGACATTGGTAATAGAACAAAAGTAAAATATGCTGTTGAACAGGCAGCTAAATGGAAATGAGCTGGACATAACGAACACCTTAAGGATGGCCGATAGAATAAGGAAATCGCGAATTGGCTGCCATATGAAGTCAAAAGACCACGAAAGACCGCAAATGCGCTGGAGCGACGATATTAAAAGAACTGCAGGACCAATATGGAAACGTCTTACAAGATTGTACTACTTAATTGTACAAGATTGTGATACTTAGAGATGAATGGCGAGAATTAGGAGAGGCCTATATTTGGCAATCCGAATAGAGAGAAAGGCTTAAAAAATTGTTTATCTCGTATTGCAGTCATAAATAAATGTCTAATATAAATTAAATAGTTTCTAGTATAGTGTAAATAAATTGAAGTGTAGTAAGGCTTCTTAATATTGTTCTGAAGCTATTTTGTTGGGGCATTTTAAAGTAATTACTATTTAAATGGGAATAAGCCACAATTAAAGTGAGGGAGCCTTGTAGCTGGCTACCTACATAAGAGGGTTGGAAATCTTTGGATTCGAAAGATTTGCCTTACTTCAAACGACTTGTGATTGGTTGTATCTCCATAGGTTTGGTTCTTCAGTGACCGTTGAAGGATAAGGATTCTTAATATGCGCAAATACAGCTCCAGAGAAATAAAATCACTTTTGAGTTTATAGATTTATAATTAAATCTTTTAAGAGTAGAGAGGCCCAACACGGCCGTAACTTACTATATAATATCAAATGTACTCTTTCTTTATAACACGTAAAAAAAAACACCGGTATGAGAGATTGCCCGATTTCGGCACAGCGAAGTATTTAATACGTGAATTGAGTTTTTAACTGCTCGATGCCTCGATGGCGATGTGTGAACTTGAACTGATAAAAACTACATGATGCGTGAACGGGAAGATTACCCCTATTTTATTTAGGTGTGAAAAATATTTAACAGGGTCAGACGCCAGTCAGTCGGGTGACGCGAACAAACTTGATCAAGTGACTGTTCTAGTTATTCTACACTAAGAAAAGTCTAAAGAATTACATTTTTATTTTATATTTTAAAAAAATATGTTCATTTCTGGAACATAAAGGTTAAAGTACGTTTATTGACGTTTCAATTTCCACTTCGGAAATCGTTCTCAAAATTCAAACAATTCTCAATGTTTGTAGTAAGGCTGTATATAAATTAAATAAATAAAGAGTAAATAAAATGAACGTTAATAACATTTAATACTAAGTAAAACAGTGTAAACAAAAAGAAAAAACCTTACAATATATATATATATATATATATATATATATATATATATATATATATATAATATATATATATATATATATATATATATATGTTCGGATAAATTTCCGCGGTCAGATGAATGAAAATCACTAGTTTCTCGGGAAGAACCGCGTTGAGAATTTAATGCTCGACGTTTCGGCTCCCGTTTTGGAGCCATTATCAAGAGGGATACGGTTCGGTTCGAGTTCGGGGTCTCAATCTGCCTACTGCCCTCACTCGACACGTACCAGTGAGGAGTAGGCAGATTGAGACCTCAGTGCCGAGAAACAGTTCTTGTATTTATAATACAGAACACGATACTGTACGTGTCGAGTGAGGGGAGTAGGCAGATTGAGACCCCGAACTCGAACCGAACCGTATCCTCTTGATAATGGCTCCAAAACGGGAGCCGAAACGTCGAGCATTAAATTCTCAACGCGGTTCTTCCCGAGAACCTAGTGATTTTCATATATTATATATATATATATATATATATATATATATATATATATATATATATATATATATATATATATTATATATATATTGTAAATTGGTTTTAAGAAGGTTTTGAGTAAATGACAAGTTAAGGAATAAAAAAACTTACTATGAAATAAAACAATCTGGCGTAAAATGTTATAAATTTATAGTTAATAAATTTGTTCACAAAAAGTTTTTACTTCGTAGTAAGTTTTTTAAAACTATGGTATAGGTACAACCAACCACAGGGACTTTTCCTTTAAATTGTTTTTCTGTTATTTCTCCCACTTGTATTGGCATTTCTCTTATATTGCCATTGTTTATAATAAGAAGAGTTAATTTTTAGGAATTTTGACCATTTTTTATCAATTTACGTCATAGACAGTCTTTTACCATTTTCCATATTCTTCTTTTATTACTATTTTACGTCTTCTTATGTATTTTTTATATATTTTTTTATCTTCCAAATGCAAAATTGGTTCCATCGTCGTTTTACAACAAAGTTTACACATCCTAAAAAGAGATACAAAGGCACTATTCTTAACCAAATTACCCACCTTACAGAATGAAAACTGATCCAATCTATTAACTACTTGATAGTTAATACAATTATCTTTATCTTTCCAATTCGATTTCTATCACTACCTGACGTGGCCCAATTTAATCTCGAGAAACACCATTTTTTAATTAATAAATATTATACAAAATTAATGATTTTTTTTGTATTTCAGAAATCATGGCAACAAAAATATTGCATGTTATTTAAAGCAAGCAAATTCGGTATGGAACGACTAGAAGTGTATGACGCTGTGGACTCCAAAGATTATAAGATTATAACCTTAGAAAACTGTATCAAAATCAATTCGAAGTCTCTCACGACGTTTGTAATAACTTCCAAATCGGGAGTTTACGAATTTGGTGCTCTAACAGAACAGTCCATGAACGAATGGCTTTCGGCAATACAATCTGTCGCCTTTCCAGACGAAGTATCCAAAATGACATCAATCGAAGAAGACAACGATCTGTATTGCTCATCTGGGGAAGGCGTGTTCAACGTTAAATTACACCCTTCGCCGGTGTCCATAAACTGTGGCTTGGAGAGTAAAACTTATACCTTAGTTCTTACATCAACTGCCTTACAATTAAGAAACATTATAGATAATAAGCTCCTATTCACGTGGCCTTATTGCTACATCAGAAGGTACGGCTATAAAAGCGGCAAATTCACATTCGAAGCTGGAAGAAAATGTGAATCTGGAGAAGGCACATTTTACCTTGAACATCAAAATCAACAGGAGATTTTTAGGTACGTATAATGTTTAGTATGTGTCTTTTTTCATTTTTAGTAGTGCTGTAATAAGACGGACTAGACTAGTAGTAGATATTTTACTTAAGACAATTTGCAGTGAAAAAACATGCAAATGTAGAAGTTGCTTTGTTTAGAAGCAAAGATTGGCAAAGTTTCTTAAGTTCGAATCAAATGATGCTGAATTACTGTTTGTTAAAACATGTAAGCAGAATTAGTTGCTCTAAAAAGGCCTTTCGTTTGTCCACTTTTGTGTGATATTTAATTTCTAAATATTTTTACTCGTAACAAACTTTTCACGTCATCTCAACGCTTCGTGATCTTCAAAGTCATCTTGTTAAAGTGAAATGAATATTTCTCTCATTAAGAAAATGTTTATCTTTAACTGTCTCGTAATTTTCTGACAAAAAACACTCCGCGCAGAGCTGTTTACTTACGTGTACTTTAAATATATTTACAATTACATATTTAGAGAATACATTCTGCTATTAAAAGCTGTTTTAAGCGTCTCTACTGTCGGAAATCAACGTAACTTAACGTAATTCTGGATGAAAAATTGCACCTAAAACGGCATGACGATCTCACAACATCAGTGGTTTCTAAATGTGTTCTCGATACCTTTAATTTCTTTAATTAATATTGTATTTCCATCACATTTGAATGTCTTTTCACTATTTTTGAATGAAATTATCTTCTGAAGACACATAAAAATATAGTGTCGTCAGTTTGCACAATATCTACCATTTCTTACACTGTATATTATATTATATACTTACGTTGTTTTCAAGTGATCTTGTTCAATAGGTACTCCCAAGTCTATATCGGAACATTTACTTCTCGAATTTCATCTGTGCCAAAGATCTGAAAAGCTTTAATAAAATTTGATGTCTGGTAATGTAGCTACAATTTTTTCCGGGTTAATAAAATATTTATCGTACAAAGTTTTCTTTTTATGTGTAATATTGTTATAATCGTTCACAAGATAAAGCTATTGGTGTTCTGGTGTAATCTGAATTGATTCAGGGATATGTTACGCCCAAAAAGCTCCTTTCTTCGTTAACCAAATGTCGGCGGCACAAAAATGTTACGAAATGGTATCATTTATATGTTAAACGTATAGTTCTGGCAGCTGTATGGCAGGTTTTCTTGATTGTTACTGTTAAATTTATTATGTGTATCAATATAATTGTATGTATGTCATGCCTTTTTTTACACCTCAGAATTAAAAGGCCTGCCGGACCTCTTCAATTATTACATCCTTTCCTTCACTGTCTCTTGAAAAATTGTTATCCACACTTATATATTTATTTGCATAGTTGACATTCCTTTTTTTTTTAATATACGGTGATAAAAAAATAAAGACAATCTCTCTAAAGGTGTTGATGGAGTTCTTGCTTTCCGTCTCAGTATTCTCATAACGGAAATTATTGTTACGTTGTTGTGTGGGTACAGAGATCAAGTAAAGCACGATGTGGTTAAACTAACTTTATTTAGCTCAAAAACAAATATAACAATTACTAATAACATTCATAATTATCGCTTGGAAGAATTCGCACGGATGCGGATAATCGCCAATACTAATACTTAAAACCCGCCTCTGCTGGCTTATATAATAAAGAACGAACTATCTGGAAAACATGGGAAATCCGAATTTCTCGAAGGACATCATTTTATCGGAGTTCGGCGACGGAGAAGTTTGTGGAATTTCTCTAACGCTTCTTCTTAGGGTATCTGTCCGTTCCGAACGTTGGCGATCATTCTGGCTGTGATGAATTTGTTGGTTGCTATACGAAATAGCTTTGTTGAGGTTTTTCTATTCCATGTTCTCAGATTAGCAAGCCAGGATATTCTTCTTCGTCCTGGGGCCCATTTTCCTCCAATTTTACCTTGCAAATTGCATTGAAGTAGCTCGTATCTGCCTTGATTTGTCATATGTCCTAAGTACTGCAGCTTACGGCCCTTCACGTTGTTGATGAAATCCGCAGTTATGTTCATCCTCCGCAGTACTTCTTCATTGGTGACTTTGTCTGTCCATGGTATCTTCAAGATCCTTGTCTATAACCATAGCTCAAAAGTCTGAAGTTTTGATATCTTTCCGCCTTCCGTGTCAACGATTCTACTCCGTACAGAAGTACTGAGTACAAATAACATGTCTTCTTCTTCTTCGTGCGACTAGGATTACTCGTGTTTGTCTACCTCTTATTCTGTTTCACTCGTTGTTGACTGTACATTATCTTTCCACCATTTTGGCGGCCTTCCAACGGGTCTTCTGCTATACGGCTTGTTGTTTTTACAGATGTTCGCTAACCTATCTGGTCCGATTCGGTTTACATGTTCGTTCTGTCTCTTAATGATATGTCTGGGGGATTGGTCTTACTGTTGTCTTGTATACTTTCATTGTGCTTTCCGTGGTCAGATATTTGTTTCTCCATATGGTTTCTCGGAGGCCACCACTTACTCTTGCCGCTTTTGATGTTTGCCTTGTGGTCTCTGTTCTTATATCAATTTTATCTTTTATGACTGCCGTTAACAATTTTAATGTACTATTCATCAGACTAATGTCTCTATAATTTTCAGGATTTCTCGAGTCTCCCTTTTTAAGTATCGTTAGCATGAGACTTTCCTTCTGTTTCGCTGGTACTACTCCGGTAGTTATTATATCGACGAATAATTTTAGGAGCCATTTGCGTAGTGTTGTTCTTCCATATTTTAACAGTTCATTGTTTATCTTATCAATACCAGGTTCTTTTCTGTTTTTTAATTTTTTTATTCGTTCTTGTAGCTCTTCTTCTGATAATAGTACTCTATCGTGGGTTTCGTTAATGATTATTTCTCTGTTCTCTTCTCCTTCTCCATATAATTTCGCGAAATGCTCAGTCCATTGTTCCTCCGTAATGTAATCTATGCGTACAAATTCATTCATTTCTGTTTTTTGTCTCCTTATCATCTTCCACACCTTTTTCTGGGATCCATAGAGGTCGTATTCCATATCTTTAGTAAATTTCTCCCAGTGTTCTTTTTTGATGTTATCTATTACTTGGTTTACTCTATTCCTCATTCTCACGTAGTCTTCTCGTGCCTCCGGTGTCTTCACTCCTGTGTATGTTAGGAAAGCTTGTTTCTTTTTATTTGCTAGTGCTTTCACCCTTTCGTCGTACCATGGAGTTTTGTATTCTCGTTTATTTCTGTTAACATTTAAATAAGTTAAATAACATTTAAGGAGCCTTATTTTTGTTCCCAGGGTCAGGTCATGGCTCTTGAACACAGAGCTCATAGTCAAGAATGCAATGTTTTTTTCTAACGTACAGGGCTGCAATCAGGGGTATGTGACTCACAACACTATGTATTGTTTTTTGTCCTTAGATAAGAGCACAGAATTTCCATTATTTTACATTTTTGTCTTCGTCTGAAAACAACTCATTTACTTTCTTCTTGTTGCGACTCAGAAAGCTTGGTCACTATATTGATCAACATATTCACTGTCGGTATCCGTGTTATGGAATTGACTCATTTTCCTCGTCTCATAGAGTATCAACGATTTTCTTCTTCTTCTTCTACGACACTACAGCCCAAATTGAGCCTTGGCCTCCTTTATTTTTTCCTCCACCTTACTTGTCTGTGGCTGATCTTCTCCATAAACGGACTCCTAAAAGAGCTTGTGCGTCGCTGTTTACTGTGTCTTCCCAGCGCTTTCTTGGCTTTCCAACCGGTAGCCTATCCTCGCCCATTCTTATCACATGTCCGACCCATTGCAATCTTTGTATTCTAAATCGACGATTTTGTATAACTCTTTTTGAAGTCTAGGGCTCTGCTATCAAACTGTGTTTGACTGACAAATCTTAATTATCTTGGATATCCGCCCAATTCTATGGAGTTGAGTTGTTTAGTGGTGCTAAAAAATTCCATCTTTTATATGCAGACATACGTTCTCGTTTCAAATATGTATGTTAAAAAATCAGTCGCTGCACTTCTGATAGATCTATATGCTGGAAAAAAAAAAATTCCATTTGAGCTTATCAGTATGTTCTTCCTATATAAAAGCAATTTTGCTTGTTTATTGACGGTTTGTTGACGGTCTTGTGCAGTCGGCCGATACTTCTACCGCTAGGTGATTTGTGCCTTGTTTTTTAATGTCTCTTGTGTCCGCCATTTTATTGATGTAATTGTTTCATTATTTTTCTCTAGTTGGTGTCCACTCGTTTATACCCTGTACATTACATTTTGTTTTGATCTGGTCATTCCGTATTCGGTCTCTCAGCGTGTTACCTGTAATTCTTTCGAGTATTGTAATTTCTGCTGTTTCCAGCACTCTCTCTGTTTTGGCTGTATTGACTCTTGTTTCTGATGCGTACGTCAATATTGGTCTTATACTGGTCTTATAGATTCTTGATTTCATCTCTCAGTTAATGTGTCGGTTACGCCATATAGTGTTATTAAAATATCTTGCTAATCTATTTGCTCTTTGTACTTGATCTCCTACTTCTTATTCAACGTCTCCATAAGTGTAATCCCTAGGTACTTTATTTTCATTACCTGTTCAATGCTTGCTTCATCGACTTACAGTTTACATCTTATTGGTTCGTTACTGATTACTATTGCTCTAGTTTAAATCATCATGTTAAATTCTTTTGCTCTTGTATTAAATCTGTGAACTAATTTTTGAAGGCGATCTTCATTTTGGGCTAGAAATATTGCATCTTCTCCGTAACAAAGAATTTTAATTTCATTGTTTCCCATTCTGTATACTCATCCGTAATTGAGACTCTTTAGGACTACATCCATTATTAGATTGAATAGGATAGGGCTTAGTGAATCCCTTGTATCTACATTCTCTGTATCTATAGGTTCCGTACGCTGTCCATCTATTCTGACTTCCATCTTATTGTTTTAATAGACGTTCTCAATTGTTTTTATAATATCCAGTGGGATCTCTTTATTATACAAGAGATATACTACATATTTAATTCTTACTCTGTCAAATACCTTCTTGTAAGTCGATCAACCATAGGAATCCGGGCTTCTTCTTGTGGTGCCTATCCGTTACGGATGTTAGCTACTAGCATGGCAATTCTAACTTTATTGATCGAATTTCGAAATAGTCCTGAAGTAGTCAACGAAAACCATTTTCGTAAGTTCTGGAGCCAAGATATTCTTGTTCTTCCTGGTCCCCTCTTTCCGTAGACCATTCCCTGTAATGAAAGTTGCAGCAGGTTATATCTATGGTCGTTTCGCATTATATGTTCAAGATATTCTAGCTTTCACTGTGGATATAATTTCACATGTTTTATCCATCCGGCTTAGAACCTCAATGTTTGTTATTCGGTCCACCCAGGAGATCCTCAGTAGGACGCCACATCTCAAACGCCTCGAGTTTTCCCATGGATGCCTCGGTTAGTGTCCATGATTTAACCCCATAGAGCAGCACTGTAAACACGTAGCATCTCAATAAACGGATTTTTGTTTTTAAGGGTTGGTCGTGGCTCTTAAATATCTTGTTCATTCTGACAAACGCTAACCTGTCTTTTTGGTCGTTTATGGTGGTTCCTTAATAGTAGTACCGGGGTACTTGGAGTATTTGTTGCTGATCTACCAGTAATTGACTAGGTGGAATATGCTTCTTACTGATGACTATGTACTTTGTTTTCTTGATGTTAAAATCAAGCCCGTACTCCTGACTGATTCTCCACAACTGCGTTACTAGTGTCTGTAAACCTTCTAAACTGCCTGCAAAGAGGATGGTGTCGTCTGCATCTGATGTTATTCAGGCGCTCATCATTTATGAGAATACCTTCTTCGATATGCTCTAAGGCCTGGCTCATGACGTGTTCCGAATAGACGTTAAATAATAGGGGAGAGAGTATGCAGCCCTGTCGTACTCCCCTCTTTATTGCAACTTCCTCTGTTAGTTGGTCTTTCACCCGAATGGTTGCTGATTGGTTGTAGTATGTGTTCTTGATTACTCGAAGGTCTTTATTATCCAGATCAGTTGCAATCCTGGTCTACTGAATTCTAATGCTTTCTTTGTAATCTGTTTTATGATTGAGATTAGCTTGCTTGTCCCCCATCCTTCTAGTATTTTATTGTGTCTTACAATCTTGTTAATAAAATTTGTCAGTAGATCGGTCATTGCCGCTTCACCATATTTTAACAATTCATTTGGTATTTGGTTTATTTTACAACAATTAGTTTATTTTTCGTTTTCACAAATATTGGCCTGAATATTATGTGACACACTGTATTTTTCCCTACAAAATATTTGTTTCATAAATGCCTTATAAGGGCCTTGGGTTATAACTGACGCCGGCCTGTCGCCACTTTTAGATAAAAATTGGTTAAAGCCAAAAGAATTGCAGATGTGATTTGGTTGTCAAGTTGCTAGCCGAACGTGGGGCTGTGTGCGGTACTTGGTACCTACGATTTCTTCGTCTCAAAAATGCAGTGAAAAGTGCATTGGTTTTCGCTATATTCGCCGGTCCAAAAACACCTTTATAATAATGAACAATGTAGTAAAGCAAACTCTTTAATTAGTAATACTGGTTTTGTAAATATTCTCTAGTTATTAAATGTGTAGTATAGATTGATTATGCTTTATTTTTCTCTAAGTACAACCCGGCTAAACCAAATATATAAGGGATCATCACCGTGAAGTCTGCCTACGTATATCGAAGGAATCTCTTTAGCAGTCCATGGTCCTAAAATATTTGGTACTGTACCCTCTGGGGAAAGGACTTTAATAAGCTTTCCCCTAACAATTGATGGAGATCATATAAAATTCCGTCACTATCTTTAACTACAGCATTTATGTTATTTAGTTTTTCAAGTGTTTTTTGTACTTTATTCTTGCTTATGTGAACTTCTTCGTTTATAGTAATTTCTGTCTATTGTAATTTGCTCATAGAGATGGGGTAATACCTCGGAACAGGACGGATTCCGCGATGACAACCAATGCGAGAATAAGAAAAACGAAAAATATAACAATTCAGTAAACACAGGTTTGTTGTTGAGAAGCTTGTGTCAAAAAGCCGAGAATAATTTTTGCTTTTTTATGTCGTTATCGCTGCAATATCACGACGAATTTTACCGTCTAACTAAGAACTGTTTAAAACACAATGCCTTCTTTAAGTGAATTGAAATGAGTCGGTTATTACGTGTAATTGTACAAAAGATTAATTTCTTTATAGATTTTAATTCAATTACATCTACAAATTACTTTGAGAAAACAGTACTTAAATACAATTACACGTAAAAAAGTAATTGTAACCATACTCCAATTGTTTATTTTTTTAGGTGTCTAGCAACCAAGATGAAATCGATGAAAAAATTGCTCTCCGGTGAAACGTCTCCTCTTCTAGACTGTGGAGAAGACCAATTCCAAGCCGCGTTGCTTTTAGCACCGAGATCTAGAACTCCGTTAGTGCCCTCCCCCACGATACCATCGTTGCAATCCATATCAGACTCCTCAATTTCCAGTAAATCTCAGTTATCACAAATGAGTAACATTAGTAGTGAACTTGAGTCTAAGAATATCCCGTTTTCGTTGAAAAGTGTGAAACCGAACAAACCTCCTAGAAAGTTTATACCGTTGAGCAAGCCTTTTCCAGAACAAGATCCTACGTATGAGCCGATTCAGAAGTACGACGAAATAGAATATAGAAACAACGCCTGGCAAACTCTAGGTATTGACGCCCCGGACCACACGGAACAAATTGCCGAAGAAGAGGACTACATGTCTTGGGGGGAGATTAAAAAACAGAAAGAAGCCATAAAGAAACCTTTAGCCCCTACTATCATTACACAAAATACACCAGTAGATACCGGAGACACGTACGACAAGCTAAACTACTTCGGATCAACGAGCAAAATAAATTCTAAATCGCCGTACAAGCAAGTTTTTCCAGTTCCAGTTAACCCAGTATCAGAACCTCTTTCGTATAACGAGTACGACGAAGTTCAGTGCTTCACCGAAGAAAACCAAGGCAAGAAAGATCCCAATGACGATAAGGTCAACCACCAGTTTCACAACGAAGAAGCTTATGCCGTCATCAGTAAACCAAAACGAGTCTAGTCAAAAATTCGGTTTATAGACTATAAGGAATTAAGACTAAAAACGATTGCTTTTAAAAAATGTGCCAAACAGGTAATTTCACTTAATTTCGTATTAGAATATAAATATTTTGATTGATTTTTTTATTTTTATAAAAAAATAAGCGAGAAGTTGGATTATTTATGCGCGATCTGAAAGAGATAGGTCTGTGTGCTTTACAGCAGGGGTGCCGAAACACTCGAGCGTGAAATTTTATTGGAAGCTATCAAGAAAAAGTGAATATGGTCCCTATTGGTAGAAATAATGATAACTTATAGTAACAAACTTATAACTTGGACAGTTATAATAAATTTATTAAATACTATCAGCTGAAACGAATTATTTATCAACTATCTTAAATTTTAAAACAATCTCAACTGGCGAGTCCAAACCTGTTCACTTTTATTACGGCATTTAACTGCCGACAAACCAATCGGGGAACGTTTTAGACTTGCGCACGCGTATTATGCACCGAATTTATGTTATCTGCATATGATGCGAAGAAAAACTAATATTACAAACAAAATAAATTGTACAATAACTTGGGGTTTTCGAAACTGTTTAAACACAGTAATTTTTTAGATAAAGTATCAAGAGAATAAAAGATTGCAAAGGCATATGTACTGATATAATAGTTATGTCGAGCTTAAAATCTGAATAAGACACGGATATGAGACAAAATGTATGAAAAAATAACAAAATATATTAAAAAACATTTACGCACCAAAAAGGAAGTTCTGCGGCAATGGAAATGTCGCAATCAATTAAGAAGACCGAGATAGAACACAAATAAAGAAGGAAGAGTATAAATTAAATTTAAGTGATGAAACAACAGGTCAAAAACTATAGGACTACATCGAGTTGGATTTTATTCTAAAAAATTTTTAATTTTATGAACGAAGAAGAAATATGTTGTCTCATATAATGTTTAATAAGATACATTATAGATGAAGGTTTCTCTCGCCTATTTGTTGTCTAGGTTTGAAAATCTAATGAAAACATAAAATGTAATAATTTCTTTATAGCTAGAGTGATAATATGATTGATACTCAATATTTTAATGGGAATTATTCTTTCGGACATGTCGATTATTGTATATTTAAACAAATCACTTAGTAATCAATTATGTATTTAAAATGTGGTTACAATCTCAATTGGTAAATCCATACCTGTGCATTTACCCACGATATTTAACTACCGATTCACCAACCACGGTGTTTGAAGTTTGTAAAATTGTTTAAAAAGAGCAATTTTCTAGAGTTAATATCAGAAGAGCATAATAGTGTAAAGATATATCGATAGAAAATTCAAATCGGGTTAAAGTGTTTACAAGACAAAAGGTATCAGAAAAATATGAAATTAAAAACATTGACACCAAAATCAAAAGTTCTACACCAAGAAAGGTATGTAAGAAGCCATTAAGAGGATTTAATAGAAAGAATTCTCATGATTTACTTAATGCCGTCGCCAAAAATAGAGTGTAAGTCAAATTAAAAACAATGGAACTAAAGAACACCACTGATTGAACTTTTTTTATTAAAATACTTTTAATTTTGTGAAAGGAGAAGTAATGGGTGTTTTTTTAGCAATTTTATTTGTATACGACGTATTTGTCATCGTAGAGGTCCAATTTTCTTATGCACTCTGTGCAATTTTACAAAAAAATTTAAACTGAAATACGAAAATACCTTTGTTCTTGATGCCTGTCTTTTAGCTTTAAAAGTTTTACTTTGCTCTTGCAACAAATTTCAGCCCATATTGGGCCTCATAAGGTAAGAGTAAAAAATTAAAACTGAGAGAACTGAGAGAAAAGGAAAAATTTTTTTAACCGAATTTTCCTCTTTAAGATTGTCATTCGCCGTTGTCGGAACAAAATTGAATTAATTTTTGTCGTTAGTGACTTTTGTGTTTTTAATCATCTTTTTTCATTTAGAGAACATACTGACCTGCCGAAGGTTATGTCAATTATTATGTCTTGAACGAAATCAATTATCTAAAATTTTAACACAATCTCTACTGGCGAGTCCAGACCTGTAGACTTTGCACACGAGAGTTAATGACTGAAGGAACGTTTTAGACTTGCACATGTGTGTTATGTGGCGATCGTTCGCTCCCTTATCTGCATATGATGCAAAGAAAAATTAACTAATAATGCAAAAGATTTCAATAAATTGTAAATTGTACAGTTTCGAGCACCCCTGCACTAAAGCATTGGTAAAAATGATTGTTAAATCTACTGTTATCATTCTATGTCTTTATTTATCGGACATTTTAATTTACTGCTAATTCTAGTATTTTTTGAATACTAAAAAATTATTGGGCAATATATCAGCGCTTCTTTTTAATAACTTCCCATAATCCAGTGTCGTCACTACTTTGCCATGTGGTAACCTGATAACAAAGAGGAAGATATTTTAAAACAGTTTTTTGTGATCACGCTTTAGTTTTTTTTTAACTTAAATTGTGCATACGACTGTAAAGAACAACTATGCTTTTTTACATAAAAGTGCTTGTTTGTTCTAATGTTTACTTACTTTATTTTACTAATTTTACTTACTAATATTTATACACTTTACACTTTTTAGAAGATAATAAGAGTGATAGCAGTATATTTTTCCTCTGTAATTGTATATCTCTTACAACTCAACTTGTATACAATTTTACTTCTAAAAGTAAAAATTTTTATGAAGAAACTATTAAATATTTTCTTTTAAAAGAAAGCCTCAAGAAACATTCCATGTACTGACTATATAGTTTAACGAAATTATTATCAATTTGATATTATGTATGAGAAAAATTTATAAAATTAGCTACTAATTTTAGTGAACCTGATTTTTAAAATTCTCAATCTTATTTAAAGAGATACCAATCGGAGAGTTAGACCTAAATATGTTTGACAGTAAAGTATGTCAACTGTCAAAATGTGTTTGACAATTAACTGTTTTTTTTAGTCAGTTGTCAACTTTATTTGATATGAAAATTAAAAACTTTATTATTGGTATTTCTTTACAAAACGACCTTTTCCGCAATGTGATACTACAATTCCATCACATTTTTGTATTTGAATATAAGTATTGATATAATAAGTGCCTTATTATTTTTGTATTTTTATTAAAAAAAATATATAGTAAATATTATTATATAAACATTAAATATTTCGCAAAACATTTGTTTTACCTCTTTAAATTTTAAATAAAGTTATTTGAAAAATGTTTATATGTAACATTTTAAAAACATTGTGCTCATTAGTATATATTTTGTATGTACCATAACGAATATTGTGTTTTTCATACCATACAAGAATTTTTTGTTTCTTTTGGGAACTTTCTGTAGTGATAGACCGGTACTCTGCAGAAAATGATCAAATTTTTTCGTTCAATCTGGTATGATTATATGGCAAGTAACAGTTCGTATCTATATTGTTGGATATTTTCTACAAATAAAAAAAAAATGGTCATTTAAATACAAATTAACGATAATGAAATTAACGAGTTAGAGATCTATTGGAAGATCATTGAAAAGAAAACTTTAATAGTACTAGTATGGTACATAAGTGGTTTAAACTTTTAAAGAAATTATCAGTTCACTGTACAGAGAACAGCTTGGTTATTCTCTGCACAGTACCGGTATAAATCCAATATCTACTACCTGTCTTTGCATTTGAACAAGTTCTGTCTGAGCAGTGCAATTATGGCAACAATTATTTTATTTTGAAAACACTATTTACTTGATAAACATTCCTTTTACTTGTTCTTTATATTTTTGGTAATAATAGAACCCGTCGAATTGTCTTAATAGGTATGAAAACCACTTTAAACAAATATAACAGTATTTTAAACACTACTTACTTTTTGTAACATTATTTTACCATTTACAAACTATTATAACAGTTTTTTGCAGTTAGATTGAACATTTACAATTCTATTTATGCATCCAAACTATTAAACAACCAATAAAAATGTTTACAGTTATTTTTATTTAAGTCATGATATTTTGTAGCAGATAATATTTTAGTGATTTCTTGTGCTACCATATGCTGCAAAATTGCTTTTACATAAGGAATATAGATGCCGTAATGTTGAGTTTATAGTATCTGTACACAAAAAAACATAAAAGTTTGCAGGCATTTGTTTGTACTCTCATTTTTTTAATTTGGCCTCCTTATCTTAACTAAAACAGGATACATGAAAACCTAATCTAACCCTATCTGTCAACTGTCAAATAATTTATGTATGTTTCAAATTGAAAGTTAAACCAATATTTAGAGCCGTACCTTTGTTTTCTAGTGTAACACTTTCGAGTGTAGTTGAGTGTAAGCTACACTGGCTAGTGTCAAACGAAAAAATCATAGCTGTGGCACTAAACAAAGAAAAGTTCTAGAAATTATAAAAATGAGTGATGAAATAAAAATATCATCTCAATTTAAAAGAAACAACAAAATAAAAAATTAAATTAAATAAAAATTTGTATGTACCTACTTTAGGTAGGTACTACTGCTACTAGTATAATTACTGAAAGTTTTTTGATGTTTTTAAATTACAAATTAAAATAAAAGGAAAAAGATATTTTTTTTAAACAATCACATCTGACAGCTAAACAGTTGTCAAATTCGGTGTGATGATACTGCACAAAAGTGTAACGAGTGTAGATAGTCACCCTCTCAGAAGCAGGTGTAGATTTATCGACACTATATTTGCACTTTTTTGGCTACACTTTTCAATGGAACAGAGTGGTGTAGAACTACACCTTGTAAAGGACCGACTTACTTCAGCACTTCAACACTTTTTTGGAACTGGTGCTACACCAGAAAACAAAGGAACATAACTAGTATCTCATTTTTATGTTTCTCCTTCCCACCCATTTTACGTTTTTATTTATTTTAAGCTAGCAGAAAGTTTACAATAACAAAAATATTAAATCCTGTACTGATACTAAAAGCTACTCACACCAACTTACATTGAAAAACCATTCACATGTGCCAAAGATGTAACAAATTTTTGGCTTAGATAAGAACCATAATTGTAATAGTAATAAAAATGCCATGTTACTTAAAACGTACTTGAAATAAATAAATACATTTTTACAATCTATCTCAATCATTTATTATATTTTAAAACCTTTCTTTGCTTGTGTTCCTTTCATCCTTATCATTTTAACCGTTATTCCTCTACGAGGTTGGCTTCTCTAATTACATTTCTCCATAAGTTTCTATCTTGGATCTTACCAATATTAATCCCGTTTATCAACATGTCCTAGATCTTTAATTTTTTTTTATCCTACTGCTCTCAGGAACTTACAAATCAGCAATTATTATTGGTTATGTTTTGGAGTTAAACATGTCTGAACCATTTTAACTTATGCTAGGAATTATAATTGGAGCAACTCTTAGACTTCTTCGTCCAAAGTTAAACAAAGACCTTCCTTAATTTCTTCCATTTATCGGTCTTTAGCTTCCTGCAGCCAATTCCAGTGATTCTTTTGACGTCATCTCTCCATCGTGTAGGTGGTCTACCTCTGCCAGTCAATAATATGTACGATTTTTAAGCTATATCTTCCACGCAGTTTTAAGGTCAACGATGCCACTGTAATAGAGAAACGTTTTACTGATATAATGCTGTTTTCTGTATAAGAAGACGTCAACGCCTCCCGTTGTTTCCGTTTCATTTCTTCTAATTCCATGACCGTTATCGATCGTTGCATATCATGTTATTGATAGCAGCTCTAAATAATAATGTAGTCGATTTTCCGTACCATTGTCTTAAAATTTTCAGTCATGATTTTTTTCTTCTACCAGGAACACGTTTACTTTGGTTCTCTGAATGATCAGATGTAAAGTTCATGTTTCGCGGGGTGTCTCATAATTTTACCGAAGTATTCCAGCTTGCATCTCTTTATTATATTGACCAGTTATGTCATTTGATTCAGGCGGCTAAGAACATCCTTATTTCTAACTCTGCCGACCCAGTTTATTCGTAGTAGTCGTCTATATAACCACATCTGAAAGGCTTCCAAGCTATTAAGCATTGATTCTTAGGGTCCGTGCTTCCACTACATACCGTAGCACTGGAAAAATATAAAAGCATATCATTTGAAGGCGAGGTCAATGCTAATATCGTGGCTGCAAAGTACGTTCCTCATTTTTACTAAAATGGCTCGGGCTTATTCTATACGGCTTTTATTTTCTACATTCCAGCCTACATCTATATTAATGCCCAGATACATGAGTTTCTCTACTCTGTCCAGTGTGGCATCTCCGACTTTTATACTGTCATCCTGTATATAGTTTTGTTTGCTATCATATATTTAGTTTTCTTAACGTTGAGTTTTAATCCATACTGATCACATGTTTTATTTTGTTCATTAGATTTTGAAGGTCTTCTCTGCAATTAGCCAGCACTAGGTATCTATAGTTTCACTACCCACCTGATAAAACAAGTGACCTGATTTCAATTTTTTCGGACTCACTCTCGTTGTTTTACCTCGCTAACGCCTATCACATCCCATTTCATTTTCGACGAGGGATCTAGCATTAAGGTCACGGCATATTATCATTCCAGTCCAGCAATCGAACTGCGCGTTCACATTTGGATAAATAGAATGTTTCAGTTTGGTGCAGTGAAGATGTGTTCTCCCGTTTCCAAATATTTTCTTTGCATCATTATAGCATTTATCAGTGTATCTATTTATATAAAATTTCTTCACCGTGTACGAGTTCAATTAATTTTTCGAAATCCATTTTAACTTGTACTATCACTTCCGTGCAGAAGACCTAAATATTTATCACTTCCGTGTTTAAAAAAGGAAAAAAACCTCATAATACTATCCCGACATGGTAAGTATATGGTCGTGCATTTAGTTTACTTTCAATAAACGATAAAACTCACATTTTATGTTTGTTAAAAAAATTTTTTCCTGGTTTTTCCCTCATAATTTACTATGGAATCACTAACAGGAGAATTTTACCGTCATCATGGCATGTTTTGTCTTTTTAAAAACGAATTACAGTGGTGTTAAAAAGTCCTGCATCACCTTCCAAATACATGGAAATAGAAGTTTAAGGCATTTACCTTAAATATTTTTTAACCATTTACTATCTACATCAAACAAACACTTAATCACAATATTATAAAATGAAAAGATAGCAAAAATTTTGATTAATAAAAAAATGTAGTTCGGAAAATTTTTTATTCAATATTACAAAAATTAGGCTATTTACATCAAGACGATATTGTGCATCACATTGAAGTAATTTAAACTAATTTTAATATTTAATTGGCCAGCCCTTGTTTTTAATAACTAATTCACATCTTTTGAGCATGGAATTTATTAATGTTTGCAGTTCCTCTATGGAAATACAGTGATGTCAAGCGTGGATTAGATATTCGATTAATTTCGTTATATTTGTGGGTTTGATTTTGGAAATGATGTTTGATATCCTTTGCCACAAATTCTCAATGGGATTGAGATACGGGGATTGTGCTAGCCAGTCCATCCTATCAATTTCATTACTCACCATCCAAGTTTTAAGCAATTTTGCTCCATGGTAAGGAGCATTACCATCCTGAAAAATAAATTTTTCTTCGCCCAATAGATCTTTCCCACTACGCAGCACCTTATTCTGTAATACCTCAATGTATTTGGTAACATTCATCATTCCAGAGACAACGTGAAGGCGACCAACTCCTCTAGGTTGGATGTTAATTTGTGGGAAGAACACATTTTGGAGAAAATTCTTCACCAAAAAATCTTCTGACGAAGGCATTTCCAGCATGATTATTTATATTGAAAATGGATTCATCACTAAACAGTACACTCTGCCACTGCTCTGCTGTTCAGATTGCGGACAAAACGGTGCAAACATTGCTTTTCTGAAAGCACTGGTTTCTTCCGTGCCGTACATCCTTTAACTCCAAAACTAAGCAGTCTTTTTCTCGCAATAGATGGTGTATACGTATATAGGTGTATACGCTTACACCTATAGATTCAGACCACAGCTTCGTCAATTGGGTGGAATTAAGGCTTCTGTCTGCCAGACTTGTTCATCTTAACGCAGTGTCATCCCGAACAGAAGTTTTCTTAGGTCGCCACTACGCGATCTGTCGTCGATTTTTCCTTATTTAGCGTACTTCTTAATGACTCTAATTACTGTAGATTGATTACAGTTTACTGCGGATGCTATTTCGCGACTAGATTTGTCGTTTTTATGGTGAAAAATAATTTCAAAACGCTTTTCGTCCGATAATTTTGTTTGTCATACGCCGCCATGTTACCTATCCAACGGTAACTTAACCATCACAAATTATAAATACTAATAATGTAAAACAACTTCAAATTTAAAACATTTAAAGGGTTTTTACCCATATATTTTGGTGGCTACTAGCATGTACAACCGTTTGCACTGATGATGGATTGTTTAATCCGAAAACGTTTTGCAATGTGTTTGTGATAGCCCGTTTGAGGCATTTTTATATACCTTTTATAAAGGATTTTAAACAAAATTTTTTTGTGATATATGGTATACAGCCAGCTACAGGAACTTAGTTTCTTCGTGGAATTTCATATGTAATAATCACAGACATATAATATTGTTATAATTGATGTAATTTCTTTACCAGACAGCACCCTAATAAGGGTTTTTATAATTTCAGCATTCAGTTGACCATTGTACCTAAGACCTGAAGTTGCATAGCAAATTATAGTATGCAAAACCGGTCATTGGTGGTAGAATAAATAAATTGTGAGTGTTATTCTTATATCTTCTATGTATTTGAAATGGACTCAAATATGCAACATATTCAAGATTATCATTTTATTTGTTGTTTTATTATCATAAGTTTTAAAGGTATTTCCACAAGAACTTGTCTCAACTATTCCAAATTTTGTTCTAAATCCCTTTAGGTATTTCCTACTAATAGTACATTATCATCATACATGAAGCAACAGGAAATGTCACCCTGTAGTTTCGCTGTTCCAACACAAATAAGAATAAAATAATGACTAAGCACTGATTCTTGGTGCAATGCCAATTTCACATGAAATTTATCAGTCTCTCTCACACCTGTTGCTACTCCCTCATACATGTCTGGAAACTCCTTTCTTATTGAGCACCCGCCATATAATTGTTGGAGGATTTTTCTTGTGCTTGTGTTCCTTTATCATTAGGATGTCCATATTTAGTCCATTACATGTTTTCACATATGGCCTGTGCAGTTACCACGACAATTTCTAGGAAAAATAAAAGCCCTTGATAATAAGGGTGAGTATTTGATTAGTATGGTATAGGTACTTCGGTCATATTATGAGACACCCTGAAAAATACGATCTTTTACATCTGATCATTCAGGGAAAGATCCAAGGTAATCGTGGTCCTGGTAGAAGAAGAACATCATGGCTGAAAAATCTAAGGCAATGGTATGGAAAATCAACTACATCGTTATTTAGAGCTGCTGTCAATAAAGTCACGATAGCGAATATGGTAGCCAACATGATATCCAACGATCGATAACGGTCATGGAACTAGAAGAAGAAGATTTGATTAGTGTTATGAAAAACACATCAAAAGGGAAGTATACATTGCCTATTATGACTTAAAAACACATGACAGAAGGTCTAATCATAATGAATTGATATTACAACAGCATATATCACCAATAGCAAGTCAAATGTACTATTTCAACACCTTGACAACAGCAACTTTTTATTTTGAAAAATTGATCCAAGTTAACTCAGCAGTTCATTTAATAGCCTTTTTAATTTGCCTCTTTAGATTTTTCCTGTAAAGTTTATTTTAATTATATGCATCTAGTGATTATATTGAGACAAGAAACTGATAGTTTAATATTGTGATATTTTGAGGAAGGTGTCATGTCTAGTACTACTATTATATTTCTCAATAAAGTAATTAGACAATTTTTATAATCATAATATGACAACTGCTAACTGTATTGTTGGTATATTCATATGACATAACAAAACATAAAAATCTTTTTGGGGTAAGGGGGGTTATCCTATAATAAAGGAGGATATTATAGTCTCCCACGCTATTTTAAATTTAAAAAATACAAAAGAATTATATAATGAAAATAATTCTGAATGTCGAATTTATTCTTTTTCTTTTAGTACCCTTTCCGAATATCGAACGTTGGCAATAATAACTTTGTTTACGGTAACTCGAAACAGATTAACGTATGTCTCTTGATACCACTCTCAGAGATTTTGGAGCCAGGATGTTCTTCTTCGGCCTGGGCCTCTTCTTCTGGTGATCTTGCCATGTATTAAGAGGTGTATAAGGTTATACCTCTCTGGATGTCTCATTACATGGCCTAAATATTGTAACTTACAAATTTTTATTATTTCTGTGCACAGTTTCACTTGTAAAACTATTTCATTTATTATTCGATCAATCCAACTTATCAGCAATATTCGTAGGTAAATCTACATCTCAAAGGCCTCAAATTTTTTCATTAGTGCTGCTGTAAGAGTCCAGCTCTCCATGCCATACAACAATGTGAATATACAATGGCTATACAGCGTGTTAATCTGATTTTAAGGTTTAATGTGATATCTCTATTAATGAGAATTTTCTGTAATTTATAGAAGCCTACTATGCCTTTTTTAATGTGTATTCTTATTTCTGTGCTTATATACCAATAATCGTTAACATTGGCGCTGAAATAGGTGATATTTTGGATTCTTTCTAACTCTATTCTATGCGCTCTGATGTAGATTGGATGTAATTCTGTTTTGTTTACAACCATAAGTTTTGTCTTACAGGCATTAACCTGTACTCCATATTCAACACATGTTTCGGTTACCCTGTTTATAAGTCATTACATGTCTGAGATTGTTGACATTCATCTAAGGCTGCTTTGAAAATAAATTTGGAGTGGATATTAAAAAGTAAAGGTGATAAAATACAGCCTTGCCTCACTCCACTTCGTATTTTCACTGCTTCTGCCGTTTTCTGTCGAATTTGTATACAGACATTTTTGACAATACAGAGGTCTTGGTCATCCATTCCTACCTGTTTCAAGACATCAGTTTATTGTGGGTGATCCGGTCAAAGGTCTTTTTGAAGTCGATAAAACACATATATACTGGTTGTGGTATATCCCTACATCTTTAAATCAATACCTGCAAAACTGAATAATGCTTCTCTGGTTCCCAGGTTGTTTCTGAAACAAACCTGTGTTTCACTTAGTTGTACTTCTATTTTATAGTCAATTATCTAGTGCAGTATTCAAAGAAAATGTTCAGTACATTGTTTAGCATTTATTTATTCAGATGTTCAGGTATAGGTGTTACTGTGGTGAATTGTTAAGAGAAATATGGATTTTCGAAATATTTTTAAATGCATCATTTAAAAAATGGAGCTTTGTCTGATACCCTAATTTAATATTTGTTGAGGCTGAGGAGTACTTTAAATAAACAAAATGTGGTATCAATAAAAAAAAAGTATTTTTGATTGACTGACTTCACTACTTTGTATTAAGCCACTATATGAAAGTAATACAAATAAATAAAAACAATACACACTGAATGTATTCCTATATTAACCAAAATAATTATCACAGTTTGGAGTTATACATTAATTTACAACATACTCATATGAAAATCTATTTCACACTTTCTTTAATGACTTCTATACACCTTTCCAAATCAACTTTCCTAATACTTTCACCTTTTTCTGCTAGAATTTCTTCAATATTCCGCTTTCCGTCCAGATCAGTAAACCATCTTAAATTATCTGCTATCAAATGGTGGTTTTTACAACTTTCACAAGTCACAATAACAACACCCTTTTCATAAGCTATTTTAGATATAAAATGGCTGTTGTTGGTGCTACAAACTTTACATTTGTAGCCCAAAAATAGTTTTCCTTCGACTTTTCCAATAGGTTGCGCTTTATTCGTAGTAGAATCACACTTTGGTTGAATAAATGTAGTGCAATGTCTTAGGAACTTTGGTGGTTGGGGATGTGAGTGTTTTATGCCATTATTTACAGTTTGAAACGTCGATTTCCTGATGGTACGACATAACACACTAGAAATGGATCTTGAAAACATTTCTGCAAATTAGAAAAATACGTCTATTTATGAATAATTATTAAACTTTCACAAGAAAAGTGGAATGATGAAATTCATAGATGAAATTTTGGACTTTATGACTTTAACCTAAAATTTTCAAATCATAGGGGAGAAGTTAGTTGTAAGTTGCAATTCTCAAATTCATAAGCGGACACAAGGAATTTTGCACAGGGTTTTGAAATATGCGCAAAAATACAATTTTCCCTTATATGAATTTTTCTTTATTAAGTATTACCATATTTCGAATACGATTACTTTTAATCACATCTTTACAGTGTGTTTTAAATCGCCTGTTGTACCATATTATCTTGTCTTCATAACGAGAAAAACACCCATAATCGCAAGAATTTTTGCAGTACAAATCGTATAGTTTTCTAGTAAGTAAGGGAACAGTTATGGTGTCGATATACGTTTCACCAATAACCTTAGGTTGAAATTACCAAAGAATATAGACGCTAGACGCAAATAGAATAACGCAAAGAATATAAACGTCTATATTCTTTGATATTACGTTTGGGTATGCACCAATTGATGATTACCCCAAAACTAATTGTCACTCAATTCTGTTTTTATATTATTGCTTGCTTTAATTTATGCTTATATTTATAGGATTTGAATTGAAGCAAACTTAAGCCCACTATGAAAGAGCATGATTTAATTTCAATAAAAAGCTTTTTTCAAATGCTGGTAATATAAATCAGAAATGTAGATCTTTTTGGATCTTATGGTAGGCATCACGTTTTACAATAAGTTGTACTGTACGTTGCCTATCTAGAGATTATGGGTTTCGGTTTCAATGAAAATGAAATTTCATTAATTTTTTATGTTTTGGAATAGAATTTGGACACATTTCCAACTGAATTCCATTACAATCATTCGTCTGAGTTGAGTATTTGCCACAAAAATCTGTTTTGTGGTTTCTATTATAATATTTTTATGGAGCATCTCCTGAATACATAATTATATAAAGGCTAATGCATAGGGCTCGGCTAATGTCAGTCAAAACTGAAATTTAAGGTTAAGGTCAATATTTTTAAATTTTCGAATTTAATTTTTTTATAATCGTCATCTTTTTAACTCATACAATAAACACAATCTTAAATTAGTATCTATTCTAACACGTCGTTTTAACAAAATTAATCATGTTACAATCTTCATAATAACGGATTAAAGAGGTTTCAGTTGAATATTTTTAAATAAAAGAAACAAACATGTTAAAGGGTAAATTACGTCCTATTTTAAAATATTCTTTGATTACTAGCATCATTGGTGGTACGGCCTTAAGTTTAAAAACGAATCAGTACCAATTAGACTCAATAGGTATTGTTAGATTAAGTAGGGCAGCCTATACTGTTCTTCAAATAGGAGTCATCTACAAAAGGGACCTATACGGTAGAAAACTTGATCCCACGTCTGAAGAATACAAAGAAACCAAGTCCAGTTGTCACAAACGAAGCGCAGAGAAGTTATTAGACTTATGTTGTACAAATAAAGGTGTATATATCAAAGTAGGCCAGCACCTTGCAGCTTTGGAGTACTTGTTGCCAAATGAATATGTCCAAACTATGAGAGTTCTCCATTCTCATGCTCCAACAAATTCATTAGAAGATGTATATAAAGTAATCAAAGAAGATTTAAAATGTGAGGTAAGTAGTAAATTTTTTTTGTTACAACCTTGATAAGTTAAACACCTCCAAAACTCGAACAAACATTTTGTTCTCTTTCCTTCAATCCCCAAAACCTTCCATTACTCGAAATCTCAACCCTCTACTAGTTGAAATAACCAGTGAGGCTCTGCTAGCCATTTTGGTATATAGTTTGCTTCTATAACTGAAAAAATTAACTTCAGTATCTCGAACATAGCCATGTTTTATTTTGCAAATTTTACAACTTAGATTATTTGAAAGTTATTATATACCTCTATAGTTTGAATTATAATATCCATTGTGCAACCTTTACAACTCAGTTATTTTTATTACTTCTATAGCTAGAAAAAAATATGTTGCTGAAGAAGTTACTAAGAATTTGCCAACAATATAAATACACAATTGCCTCTTAGAAACTAATTTGGTAGTACACAATAAGGGATTTATGACTCACATAAATACATGCTTGTTTGCTTGGTGTCTGATATTTAATTTTATTATTTTTAATTTTTGATTTCATTTGAACATGAAGCAAGTCATTTGCTGTTGATTGAAAAATTCTCAGAAGTAGTTTGATTCTACTGCAACACACATACATTTTTACATTTTATAAATAAAATTGTCAAAACATGAATGCTGTGAAACGCACACTGAAAACTTTGAGTCTCGCTGAAAAGTGCTTGAAGCAGCGAAAAACTGCCAAAAAAGAAAGATGTCGCTGAACAATTTTTCCTACCAATGAGTACCTACTTTGTCAACGATAATAAAAATGAATCATATATCAGGAAAAAATTCAAAACTGTCAAAATTTGTCTTGTAAAAGATGACAAATTGTAAAATCTCTGGGCTCGGAGGAGTTCTTATTTAAATGGATTAAGCTGTGTCGGACCCAAAATATAAGTGCTAGTGGAACACTGTTACAAGAAAAAGCTGAAATATACTCTAAATCATTTGGAGTGGCTAATTTCTGGGCTAATAATGGATGGTTACAAAAGTTCAACAGAAAACATGAACTTGTTTTTAAAAAAGTTTGTGAGAAAGTGCAAGTGTTATTGAAACCTGTAACAAATGAAAAAGTGAACTGTAAGATTATTTGTTACATGGTTACGAACCTGATAATATCTTTAATGTTCACAAAACTAGACTGTTATCAAGATGAGATGTCTTCCTGGTAGGACTCTAACTTTTAAAAATGGTAAATGCCATGGTAGGAAGCATAGCAAGGAAAAACTCTTACCATTAGTGATCAGTAAATCTAAATAACCTTATTGTTTTTTAAGATGTCAATCACTACCTTTGAAATATGAAGCAAATAGAAAAGTGTGCATGACTTCTACAATTTTCAAAAACTGGCTCATTAATATTGATAAGCCCATAATGATATTCCACAAATGAGAACAATTAAAATCCAATATATACCTGCCAATACCACATCAACATTACAGCCTATGGATCAAGGTATCATTAAAAACTTCAAAACATTTTATCGAAAAGAATTTTTTAGGAACATGTTGGTTCATATGGAAGAAAAAAAGGTTTCTACTATAGATGTATTGCAAGCCATGAGAATGGCTGATAAAGCCTGGAGAAATGTAACTACAATTAGAATAACAAACTGTTATGTGTGCTGTGGTTTTTCATCATCAGTGTTTTCAATAGAAGAAGCTGAAACTGAAGATGTTTCTATTTCACATCTTGTAGGATGGAATAAAATGGTGTCTGGATCAAGAATATCCCTTGAGGACTTCGTTGATGTGCAATGCTGGAATTATGACTGCTGGAACATTATCCAATGATGAAATTATCAATTTAGTAGCTCATAAAACAAGTACTAATGATTTAGATAGACACGCATAATATGATATGCACTCTATGGATGTTCATCAAAGAGGCATGAATAGCATTGAATACTTTACAGAATTTTATAGAGCAAACCAGCAACTCTGAAGAATGAGAATTTTCTGCTTTTTATACTTTAGACAATGCTATAGATAGGAAACAACAGAATTTTGTAAAGCAAAAAAAATTACTGACTTTTAATGCCATATTTTTATATTTTAAGGATGTTTTGAAATAATATGTTGATTTATCTTAAATAAAAATGTTTGTTACCTCCATAACTTGAATTTTTATTTATTTTATCACTTAAACTCAAAATTAGTAAGAATGTCTTTCAACCTCTTTATGTCAAATCAACATTCGCCTCACCCACCTTAATTTGAAATTCCCCATAAGTCAGAAACTGTAATAAGTTTGGCATCTTCCTTGAAGTTTGAGTTATAGAGGTTCTACTGTATATTGTCATCTATGTTCTATTTTACATGCCTCTTTCTGTCTTGCCCCATTTTCTTTCAGTATTTTCTCTTTCATTGATTCTTTCTTCTTCTACCAAATCACATGTCACTGCCAAGTCAGTGTCACATGAAGTATCAAGTACCAAGTACTTCATGTGACACATTTTTTACTTTTTTATATTTTCATTCTGAAACATGTGAATTCTTCTAACACCTTGTTATTTAAAGGTATACATTTTGATTTTTTTATCCTTTTATGTGCTGTCTGTACTAGAAAACCATTTAAAAGTATTAATATTTAAAATCTGAGTAATTTCTTATGATTTCAGTATATAAAATTTGTTTGTATCTTTATTCAATTAATTCCTCTTAGCTTCTTTCTTACAGATGATAACTCTTTAACACATTTGCTCTGTAATGATTTTAGCCTTCTGAGTTATTTGAATCAATGGATCCTGAACCTCTAGGTACAGCTTCTTTAGCTCAAGTCCATAAAGCCAAACTTAAAGATGGATCTGTGGTGGCCATCAAAGTACAGCACCCGTATGTACAAGGCAACTCAAAGGTTGACATGAAAACAATGGAATACTTGGTGAAATTGATGAGCAAGGTCTTCCCGGAATTCAAGATTAAATGGTTAGTGGATGAATCAAAGAAAAATATTCCTAAAGAGTTGGATTTCGCACAGGAAGGAAAAAATGCTGAAAAGGTTGCAAAGTTGTTTGAAGATCTTGATTGGTTGAAAATACCAGCAATTAGGTTAGTATTTGTATGCCATATATGTTTCTACTTCTAATTTAGTTCCTTTATTATACTTCCTCCCACAATTCTCCACCACTTTGTTCTTATTGCTATATTTAATTGCAATATTGCTCTTTTTTTGTTTTAATACTGTCTTACTTTCATATAAACCTCTGTTTTAAAATTTCTCTACAGTTTTAATCAATTTTAGATGGGATTTAACGACCAAAAGAGTCCTAACAATGGACTTCATTGAAGGAGGCCAAGTAAATGACTTGAAATATATAAAAGACAACGGTATTAACCCATCCGAGGTATCAGATAAACTAGGAAGGTTGTATTCAAAAATGATTTTCATACATGGCTTTGTCCACAGCGACCCACATCCAGGAAATATTCTCGTTAAAAAATCAGGCAAGGGTCACTGTGATATTGTTTTATTAGATCATGGTCTTTATGCTGTAAGTAATTTATACTAAACATTTTTATTTTATTAGTTCTTTTAGCTGTGAAGCTTTGGTCAGCTCTATGTTTATTGCAATATTTTTGTTTTAGGATTTAAAAGATGATTTAAAGGTTGCATATGCCAACTTGTGGCTTAGTATTTTGAATAGAGATAGAAAAGGAATGAGAAATCATGCGAGTAGTTTAGGAATTGAAGGTAATGCTTATGGTTTATTTGCTTGCATGATTACTGGAAGAAGTTGGGACAGTATTGTTAGAGGAATAGACAAGTAAGTAACATTCTTATTTAAACTTAATAGAAAACTTATTTTGCCACATTGTGTGGCCAAATTGCTGTAGCAACTCAAGCTCTAGGGTCATTTTTAGTCGAGATTCCATTTTGAGAAGTTTTTATATTGTGAGTTTATACAAATATTGACATTGTAGTTGACTGCTTGATCACATGTACAGCTGCGGTCAATGAATAGTTTATACCTTCATTTTTACATTATAATACTGTAAAATCGCAGTGTCATAAAGATTTTATAAATGTCAGAAGTGCTTGTCAAAAATTTCATGTGTATTGAAAAATTCATTCATTCATTCATGTGTATTAAAAACCTATTAAACGGGTCCAAAATGCCTAGAATGCATTGGAATGACGAACAAAAACAACACCAATTGCCAAACTCGAAGACAGTTGATCCCTAAGGCAAGTTGCTACAGATTTGAACATGAGCCATATGGAAAATCAAGCAAAGATTTGATTAATTTCATTCTGTAGCATGGCCGGGTGGTTCAAGAGGGTAGAAGATCTCCACAGCGTAACAAGATGAAGTTTTAGTAGATTATCTGAGGGAAACTTCCTTTGGCACAACTTGAAAAGCTAGCGAAGGGACAGTGTTTCCGGCAGCACTCACACTGCACATAGTAGGATTAAAGCAAGTGAATTGATAAATTGTGCAGCTTCAAGGAAACCTTTTTCGACTGAAATTCATAAACTGTGAAGACATATTTTGGTCTAAGGAGCATTTTCCTATGAAAAAGTGTTTCAATCATTTAGAAATGATCGAAAAAGAGTTTATAGGCCGGGAAAACGTAAGTTTGATGAACGGTATACTCATCATTTAAGAAACAATGGAGGATTTTCTGTCAACATATGGGAGTGAGTAAGTGCTAAAGGCCCGGGCGTTTGTTCTCATATAGAAGAAAAATTAACAGAATGTATAATTAAAAAATAGGGTATTAGTGTAGTAAGACGGAACTATGTCTGCGGAGATGAAATTTATGTCAATGACCCTGAACGTCCAGAATTTCCTCTAAATCCTCATCGCAGGATGTAAAATGATCAGTAATCTGTAAATAACAATAATTCCTTAATACCTATAAATATGTGTACTATTTTTAGTTCTATATTTATAATGTAATAAAATGTTAAATACTTACTTTTTAATCTTAATTATTTATATCGCTAAAAAGATGAAAGCTTTAGTTATATTTATTTAAAGATCTAGAACATAAAGATTCTATTGCCACGCCTCAACAAAAATAAATAATAGGTTAGTATTAACGATTGACCAAAAAAAATAAACAAAAAATCTGACAATTTACAGTTTCTATAGCGCTTGCGCTAACTAAAAATCCGCACTCTAATTCATGAACCAAATGGATGAATGATCATGAACTGATCATGAACTAGTTAGAAACACTCCGCGAACGTCGAACTCTTTGTCCAAGTCCAGGATTTTTAACAGCTCGTACGCTTGAAAGTAGAACTGCGCATGCGAATCAGTCAGAAACCAGTCAGGGAGTGTTCCGCGAACAAAACTATAGCTTGCAGGTTATTCATAGCAAAATTTGTTTTCTCGCTTGACCACATTCTGCTCGAGACATTTAAAGCGAAAGGGTCACTGCTGCATACCGGCTCACACAGTTTAAATGTGAGTAGTAACTACTTGAACTTTCACAAAATAGTAAACAGAGGGAAAATTCAAATTAGTAAATCCAGTGAAGAGAAACCAATACATATGCCGAATTAGAAGTTCCAAATTAATAAACAGGAAAACCACTTAGTACTATACCTTATTCCATTAAGCGGTGCAGGGCATATAAACAACGATAAATTTAACAGATAATTGTTAAAGATGTTCCAAATGAGTCTACTCGTTCCGATAAGTAACAGTATAATTATGACACTTTATTATTTTTTTTCTTTTCTCAAATATTCGTGTTTATTGCATAGTAAATAAATTAATGTTATTACTGAATACAAAGTAAGTGAAAAAATACTCCGATTTATAAAATTAATGAATATTTTATGCATAAATGCAAGTAACAGTTCTTCAAAAATATTTAAAAACCAACCGGAATGTCCATCTTTATTTCGTCTGGCGAGGTTATCGGCGGTTCATACCGGTTCGGACACGATTTAATGTTTATATTTTCCTGCATGGCTTAATGAATTTTACTATAGGAGGTGTTGCAAAACAGAGGTACGTTTATTGGGAATACGTCACGAAGCGTCTTCAAGGGTAGTGGTCCTCTAAAAGCGGTAAAACCGCTTATTTGGACGTCACCCGGAGGCGTTCTTAGGTAGTTCGCGAAGGGTCGTTAAGTGCCTAGCTAGCGCTGAAGCGTTTCTTGTGAAGAACAAGACTTCTCTATTCTAACGAGGTTCTCTCGTTGTCGTTGGTGAGTCTGCCTTCGAGTAGCAAGAAACGCCCACAAAAAAATCAGCTCCTCACAAATTTTATTCCCAATTACGGGCCCTGGCCCATGGAGACGCTGGACACCTGAGATGGAGAATCCATCGCCTCAGTGATGTCATCCACTCCAAGGCCTAGCATGCCATCTCTAGACATCCCTACCCCTGCCACCACCAAGTCAGCTAGTGACTTCATCACTAGACTGACCTCTGTCATCGAGAAAGCCTTCACCAGGTATCCCGATGTTACCACTAAAATAATAACCGAGCTTAACATCTTCAAGCCATTACTTAACCCCATTTGCCCTACTACGCAGGATGAAAATGACTCCGACAGCAATTATTAGGACTTCCCTCCTCTGCCCACCATCGCTGAGGTAGACTCTAGCGATTCCGAAACCAATGAACAACCAGCCACTCCTCCTTCTCCGAGACCTTGGACTCGCTTCAGGTTAAAGAGAATAAGGAGAACAACAAAGTCCGCCACTAAATCCAAACCGCAAGCATTCACCAATCTAGCTACCAAAGCTAGCAGAACTTCGACCAAATTGCCACCCACTCCAGCTACTACTCCAGCTGCCACTACAACCGCCGCTAACCCCAAGAAAAGGGTAACAGTTGCTGTCACTGATGAGGTACCTACTACCTCACGTGCCAATCCTCAACCTAAAAAAGCTATCGAGGCATCAAGCGCCTCACAAACAACCGAAAGTCCGGAGAACTAGGTGAAACAGCGGCAACGTTTCACCTACAAGGTTCTTAACATAGCAGGAGCTTATGATACACAACGTAAGCTCTTCCAATTTGTCAACACCCAGGAATTATTCAAGGGTGTTATGATTAACTTAAAATTTTGACAGAATGATCATTCTGTCTCCGGCTTCTATACAACATGTAGCTTCTCCTTTTCAAAAATTTTAAAGTGTTTGTTTGTCTTTGTGTATTGTATTGTTTTGTCCAAATTTACATTTATGACATTCTACTCATGTCGGATGGGCCACAACTGACGAAATGCCCCTGAAGATGATCTATTGATCGAAAGTACTTGGGCAAGATTAAATTAATCACCGTGTTGGATAGTTGCCTTGTATACCGTCAAAGTTTAATTATTCGAACATTCAACCTTATATGATATTGACAAGCTTTTTATTTGCATCTAGGCGTTCTCTTAATTGTCTATTTAAGATAAGACGGCTACGTCTGGTGGAAGCGTTGGTGGTCATGCTAGAATAAAACAAAGCAATACTTTATACACTTTTAATAGGTTAGTAAATAACTATTAACTAACCTAACTACTGCAATCATGTGTCAATTTTATAAACACTAAAATGTGCTAAAACAGGAGTACTTAATATGTAGCTTTTTTCTAAATTAATTAGTAATAGAATGATTTATGTATTATATTATTAAAGACAGTTTTGTATGTTAGAGATTTTGCAGTTACATTTACAGTGAGTACATCAGTCATCTTCTTCTTCACTGGCTTTACAACTCGGGGTAAGTGTTCGCCGCATCCACTATCGCTCTCCATCCTCTACGATCTTGCGCTTCTATTTCCCATTGTTGTACCCCGATTCTAGATAAATCGGCTTCAACATCATACTTCCATCTTTTTCTCGGTCGGCCTACTGATCTTCTACCATCTGTTCTTTCAAAAAACACTGTCTTTAACACTCTGTTATCCTTTAACCTTTATCCAAAAAACGTACATTTCCGGAAATAAACACTTTCGATTTTTAGGTTAGGTATGTTGTTTTAAGGTGCAATGAGCACTTAGAATGTGCTAGATTTTGGGTAGCTTTACATATTCCAATACAGACTGTCCTATCTGTTACAATAGGACATTTCAGGTTTGTAAAAATCAGATAGAATGTAATGCTTAGTAATCAGGTTTTAGTTTGAACTTAGGACAACAAGTATTACTTCAGAACAATTATTAAAGGTAGAAGGATAGCTCAGCTTTGAAAGGCATATAAAGAACCGTTAGTCCAAAACTACGGTTTTGTCAGTTACGACTTTTCAGCTTAGCGGGGCAGAGTAGTACAAGGTTAGTAGAGAAGATTTTGTCACATTTTAGGTAGAAAATCTTCTATGATAGTATTTCCTGCAGGAAGTGATTAAATCGCACAAAAGATCAAAGCTGGTAGAATGAGTAAAACTGGTAGTAAGCTGAATGATGGCTGAGCTAAGCTTTCGAAACTACACTATTATATCGCTGATATTTCGGCAGTATTGTCACATAATTTGAGTGATATGTAAGTACTCGAATTTTTCATGAATGTTGTCACATTCACAAAAGTTGTTGTCATTTTCAGTCATGTAATCACAAAGAATATTTACTCTTCTAACTGTCTTGATTTGCGAGATACATATCAAATATTATATCCACAAAACATACAAAAATTGGCTTTCCACCATTGTTGCCAAATTTACAATAAATACCATGACTTGAGACACGGAATGCGGAATTAATGAAAGCCCTACAGATGACAGGTGACATTGAATAGATGAAAATAATAAGACAGAGTTTTTATATTATAATTACTTTTTATAATCGTAACACAGTCATTTGTATATTTTTAATAGTCTGGATATAAAAATATTTAGCTCTATAAAAGTCTCTATTTATGTGAAACAATGGTTGATAGGTTTAATTTTTTAGTTAAATTACTTTTGTTGATTTCAGAGAACAAATGTCAAAAAAAGAAGCAAATTTTCTTAAACAAAATTTCACTGGAATTCTACCGCAGATATCGGAAGTCCTTCAGAACGTTAACCCTCAGTTGCTACTTATCTTAAAGACGAACGATCTTCTGCGTGGCATCGAACACGCGTTAAAAACCGGCGAAAGGATGGGATCATTCCGAGTGATGTCAGAATGCTGTGTCAAATCGGTGTACAACATGAGGTATACCAAAACGGAGAAGACGCTGGACAGATTGAAGATTTCTTTGGCTGAATTGTGGGCGTTATTAAAGATTAGTGTTTATTATACGTTTTTAAATTTAAAAAATAGGTCTCTAGGTTTATTCTCGTAAGAGAGAAATTTTTGTTTTAGGGTTGTTTTGTTTAGGTGCTTCCATTTTTGGTTTTAAGAATTATGTAAGTTTCTAATCTTTGCTAGATACTACACTATGTATATATTCGAAGGAGGGAAATAATTGGGTAAACACTTGATAGACAACAGAGTGTACTCTTTTTACTAAATCCAATCTATTTCGCCTATTTTCATTGGCATTATCAGGGAAAGCTACAATGATGGTCATTCGATGTCTTTTACATATGATTAATTAGTTCGTTACTTATTAAGTGAGGATGTTTGTCAAGATGTTCGAGTTGAAGCAATTATACATAACCATAAATAAAAATTAAAACTAAGCCGCAGAAATTGCACATATTTTATGTTCACAATTTAAACTAAAATATATGTTAAACTAATTAATTTTTTTTTATATGATAGATTCATGAATTGAAGTAATGTACTCTATGTACCGGGTGGTCCAATGAGCCGATCTCTCGGCTATATAGCAGAAACAATTCATGTTATCACTTTAAGAAAAAAAACTCCTTAGTAGAAGAGGCCAAGAGAAATCACTGGAAATAACTTGTGTTAACCGCTACGGGGCGTAACCTGTGAAGAAAACTTTGAAAACCAGTTAGAGTGGGAAAGTATTTGTGGATAAATACCTATAACTTTGGTTTGGATCAACCGATTTTAACGAAATTAGTGTCATTAGAAAAGTGTGAATGATTTAATTTACATCTACTATAAAACAATTGCATTTGTTTTAATTGTCATGGGTAGAGGTTACTTTCGAATAGAAAAAATTAAAATTTGTTTGTCTTCAAAATGTTTGATGGAAACACCTATTTATTGTAAATTATAATGGAATTGAATTAAATTCGTAACAAACCGAATGTTGATAGCTTTTGTCGAACATGAGATATGAATAAAAACGCATAAACATAAGTAAGTATAGTATTGACTCACTCTTTATTAAAACTTAAAATTAAATATGTGAAAGATCATACAAATATCTCGATCGTTATAACTTAATGTCCAATTAAATGTTTAAATTGTTTTCCATCGTTGTCCACACAAAGATGTAATCTTTCGCGCGTAGACATAACAGCTGCTTCAATCTCAGCTGTTATATACTATTTATTGGTACACTAAGTCCTTAAATCTTATCTAACCCCACAGATAAAAGTCCAGACATGTTAAGTCTGGAGATATAGCTGGCCATGAAAATATACTTCCCCTTCCAATCCAGTTATTTGGATAACTTGCATACAAATAATCTCGAACTCGTCTGGAAAAGTGCGCAGGAGACCCCTCATATTGTAATATCATATCTTTTCTTGTTTGTAAGGAAATATCTTCCAATAAAACAGGCAACTGATTTTCCAGACAATCCAAATATGTTTCGCCATTTAAAGTTCTATCAAAGAAATATCGACTTACGATCTTTCCATCAACTATGGAATCCATAGTATGTATTCATGTATCCAGTGCGAATTTTCTTCAGCCCAATAATGCATATTATGCAGATTAACACCACCCGCACTATTAAACGTAGCCTCATCTGTCCACAAAATCTTTGACATGATATGCGGTTCTTCTAGCTGACCTAACATCCAATTGCAGTAATCCAGCCTTGCATTAAAATCTCTCTCATATAAAGCTTGGTGGAAAACTACATGATAAGGATGCAGTCTAAAAAACAGAACAACAAATATTGGTGAAAAAGAAACCACTATATTTCCTAAAACTCAAAAAATCATAAAAAATCCACAATTGTGGATAAATCGTGCATAAGTATTTTAAAGAAAGGGATAAAAGCGCCGTGTTACCGTTTTTATCGGAATATTAAAATAACAGTTGGATCTAAAGTTTAAAAGGAATTCCAAGTTTCTGACCTAAACGTTCACTTTATAGTATGAAAAACCAACCTGTGATGCTTTAAAATCGTTAGAACAGTAGTTTTGGGTATGTTTAATTCTATAGAGATTTCTCGACTACTTATATGTGGATTCTGTTGAATTAAAGCAAGAACATTGATTGTATGTGGAGGCAATATCGGAATCTTGGTGACATTCGAAATAAACTCAAATCATACAATTCTGCATTTGACATACTCATCACGAATTATTAGTACTGATAATTAATTACTAGTATTACTAATATTAATATCTATTGAAAAAAGTGCAATCTTCAATTCGAATTATAACATAACACTTCTTAACAATGTTTTGACTGCTGTCAATAAATAAACAATATGAATTCCCCGTCAAATTCATTGTCGTAGCCTACTAGCTTCGAAAAAACTATTTTTAATCATATGAAAAAACAATGTTTAAAATAGGTTTCAACATTATGATTCTTCTACTATAAAAAAATTTAAAGTACCCACTGACTTATTTTTAATTTAATTTATAATACAGGGTGAGTCAACACTATACTTACTAATGTTTATGGGTTTTTATTCATATCTCGAGTTCGACAAAAGCTATCGACATGCGGTTTGCGCCATTTTGTTGCGAATTTAATTCAGTTCCATTATAATTTACAATAAATAGGTGTATCCATTAAATATTTTGAAGAAAAACAAATTTTAATTTTTTCTATTCGAAAGTACCCTCTACCCATGACAATTAAAACTAAATGCAATTATTTTATAGTAGATGTAAATTAATTTATCGATACTCTTTCTAATGACACTAATTTCGTTAAAATCGGTTGATCCAAACCAAAGTTATAGGTATTTATCCACAAATACTTTCCCACTCTCCCCCACCCTTTATTTGATAAAATAAAAAAAAAGTACTTAAACAACTTTGTGCAGAATTTAGGCCTGTTTCTACTTTACTTATTTAACACTTGGTATAATTGGGCATATTTCCCAAAAAACTGGTTTTCAAAGTTTTCTTCACATGTTGTCCCCTAGCGGTTAATGAAAGTTATTTCCATTAAAGGACCATTCTCTTGACCATTTTTCCAAAGGATTTTTTCTCCTAAAGTTATAACCTGAATAGTTTCTGATATATAGCCGAGAGATCGGCTTATTGGACCACCCGGTATAATTAAGCGACAGATCTTAGGCAAACCTAAGATCTGTCGTTAATTTTGGTTCTTCTATTCTTGTCTCAGGCTAGTAAATAGGAGTATATTTCACCACTCAAATGTTTAATGTCTGATTTTTTGTTAATAAAAATATTACACCTGCTATGAAAGCCATCTCTAGAAAGATTCTCTTACTATAGTTATTTTCAATACCTAAGATTTTAATGTTTTTCTCCATTGTTTGGTTGTGTTTTGATAGTTTATTTTCATTAAGGAGTTAGAAGTGACGATGGTTGTAGCTTTTTCAGTTATATTTTGTATACTAATCTAATCCGTACATTTTTGAGTTGTAGCTATATTTTGATATTCCATTGTTTTTATTTATTTTGCTTTTCTTTTATTTATTTTTATGTTATTTTTAAATTTTTATCGCACAAAAACGATTTTTCGTGTATATAAGTTAAAAATGAAGCTAAATTTACAACCGATCATTTTTATTATTGTTAAACAGATATATTTATATTAGGGTGTTAGTTGTTATGGAAATTTTAGAGATATTTATTTATTTTATGACGCTTTTACAAAGGCAAAATACTTAGTAATATTTTGCTAGGTCAGTAAGGAGGCCAGTACGTAAAATAAAACATATAATAAATATACTAAACGCAAAACAAATGCCGTTGCACCTCATTACTCCATTGTTGCCATATTTTGAACATGGCAACATAAGTTGGAAAGTTTATTTGCAAGAATATTTGGAGGAGTGACAAGAGTGATGATTGTGGCGCAGGCGTTATGACTTTCGAGTTATATAGAAATTTTAGAAAGGCATCGGTGAATAGAGAAGATGATAAAAAGATACAACACACGACAATGTTTAGAGGACATTACACTATTATCTTAATAAGATAATATAAGAAAATGTCTGTGGGAAAGACAAAGTAATATTACAAAGCCTAATGATGCACACAAAAAATTACCATCACACAGTACTTTAATAATTTTTCTATTAGGCAAGTGCTAAATGCAAATCGATGGCGAACTTACCCGGCGGCCAATATTAATTAGTCAACTTTAAAACATAATGCTCTTCGAAACTAGTTACAATATTTAAAACCTGTTTGCCTCTGAGGTACAGGTCTGCCCTCAAAGGAAATTGACAACAAATCCATGAAAACAATACTTTTTCACGTTTTTTGGTTCTGTTGAATCTATTATCACTGCTTCCTTCTTTCGACTTCTCATCTTCAGTACTATGTAGATACGTAGACTTGTTTTCGTTTTTTATTTTTTGTTAGCGTATATTTTACAATTGAGATTGTAGATCTAAAAAAAAGATTTTATTATATACAAATAAAATTTTATCGATATCTAAATTTGATATTTTTTAGAATTTTTTTTATAAATTTATACGATTGATGTAAGTAATTTAATTCGACTGAATGATTATTCCAAAATGTTAGATAAAAATCTAAAAATGAATTGCACTATGTAGATGTTTTGCAATATATATTTTGTTTTACTGATTCCTGTGTTATTTCCTATATTTAGTGATACGGAATGTGAAAATAAAAATTATGAGGTTACAATTTGTAAGCATAGTTTTACGAGGGATCGTTTGCCAACACTATAACGCACATTGGATATGACAAGAAAGAGACGGTTTTGTGAACTGTAGGAATGATATTCTCTGAAGAATCGATTGCCTATAGCGCTTTAGAACTCACAGGGAGACTAAGATGAAGGCAGAAAGGAAATATAATTGATGACGGAAACATCAGCTTGGACAAACAGAATAAAATAAGAACGCTAAAAGAATATCTAGAAAGACTATTTGAAGACTAAAGAGATAACATCTTTGAGCTGGAAGAAGAGGTAAATAATGGACCAAGAATATTACAGCAGGAAGTTTATTCCACAATAACACAGTTAAAGGATGGCAAAGCGGCAGGCCCTCATAATATACAAGCAGAACTACTCAAACTAGTGGATAACGAATCAATAGCAATAATCGCAAAGATATTCAACAATATATACAACTCTGGAGAAATACCAATATAATAGCTGAAATCTGAGTTTATTGCACTTCCACAAAAAAACAGGAGCCAAAAAATGCGAAGTTTGCCGTACTATAAGCCTCATGAGTCATCTCCTAAAATTGTTCCTGAAGATAATTCATAAGAGAATTTACAAGCTGTAAGCTGTGTGAAAGTAAAATTTCTCCCAACCAGTTCGAGTTTACAAATGCTGTTGGTACTAGAGAGGCTTCTCAGTACAAGTCTTATTCCAGAGATGCAAAGACGTCAACTTTGTCTCCTCTAATCTTCAATCTGTACTCTGAAAGAATATTTATCGAAGCTTTACACTAAACTGAGAAAGGTATTCTACTAAATGGTTACCGGCTAAAACAACATCAGATATGCAGATGACACCATGGTCTTTTCGGACAACTTAGAAGACCTACAAGTTTTTATGAACAAAATCATGTATTACAGTCAACA